GTATATATTAACTCCTCTAAGTAAGCCCCCAAACCCTATGAGGGAGGTTCTGTTATTGTCCCCCTGGTGCTGAGGCTAGGAGAGGCTGAGGGACTTGCTCAAGGTCTGGTAGCTGGTAAAGGACAGAGGTGGCCCACTCCCCCGCCGGCGCCCTTAACCTCACAGGGCTGCTCCTGGAGCTGTGGGGGCGGGGCGCGCAGCTGGGAAAACAGAAATGGAGTCAGGGTGGCAAACTGGCCTCGTGGGTTGCAAGAACCCAGGGTCAGGCTGGCATATGAAGCCATCGGGGAGAGGTTGGAGCCATTCCTTTGCCAATACGGCCTTCACAATCAAAGCGGAGATACGATACCTCTCAAAGCTCTGGGGTTCACCAGATCTGAACCAAACAGCATAACTAAGATACTAGCCCAGATTCCTCAGATCCTGAAGCCGGTGTTGGGGATCTGAGGTGGGGGCAGTGAGGACCCGAGGGCCTTAACGCATCAAGGCAATGTGACTTGTCCAAGGTCACATTGCAGTTGGGAGGCAGATGGGAGACTAGAGGATGCCTCTCCCACCTCCCACCTCCCAACGCAGGCCTGTTCATTGTACCAGGTCAGCCTTTGCAAGGTGTGAGCCGCATCGTGCATCAGAACAATCTGGGGGTCGGTGCCCAAATGTAGATTCCAAAGCCACCTTCACTTGCTGCTGACCAGGAATCTGCATTTTAAAGAAATCCACCTGCTCCTAAGGAGATGGGCTGCATCCAATGTTATCTCTGAAGGAGCAGAGGGGCTGGGCCTCATATTTTTTTGGATTATTTAAATGTGGGATGAGAGAAGAGGCTGCCCCGTGACAGTGAATTAAATCTACCTCCCAGGCATGCACACTGCTTCTGTCCTTCCAGACACGACTCTAAAAACCACCTTCCCTGTTTTATCTTTTCCCCAAATCCTTTCTCCCTCTTTTTCCAGGCCTGATCCAATCCAGGGCTGGTTGTTCAGGCCCTGTGGCAATCCCACATTACCCCTGAAAAGCATTTCCAAAACTTGAGTATGCTTTTGTCCCTCTAAATGCAAGTTAGAAGATGGAATGTGACCCTAGCCCGTGCCCAGAGCTGGGGAAGGGGTGTGTTTCTCAGTCTGCACCATCACTGCATGTGCCCTGGGCCTGGACCCAGGTGCGAAAGCCTGAAGCCAGAGGTGGCTTGACAATGGCATTTCATAGAGCAATGGTCTGAATTAACTAACGTGCATGGTTGAGGGGCACATGGAGGGATCCCCAACTAATGGTGGGACATACCACCATTATCGTTCAATACTCTGCAAATTTACTAATTTGAGGAAGGCGAGTAGCTATAATAAATGAGAGCTGTCTGGCAGCCTCACCTTCATGGGGATTAGGGCGGCCTCAGGACACGCGGCAAATGCACTTGAAAGAGTAGATAAACAAGGAAAGCCTGCCCTGGAAGGAAGGCAGAGCTGTGGGGGAGGAGTGAGTGGGTGGTGGGCATGTGGGGAGAGCGGACAGCCCAGCAGAGAGAAATCAGGGAACTCAGGGAAAGGGATACCCTCAGGATGGGGAGAAAGGAGCTTAGAGTGAAGGAAACACAAAATTCAGGTAAGCAGGGCTCCTGGGTGGCTCACTACTGACAGCAATCATTTTCCAAATGCCTGGTTATAGTTGAAAAGATCAATGCATAATCAACAGTCAATAGATCACTCATCGATATAGTTCTAAAGACCCTATCTTTTTATTCATGGTTGTACCAAAAGGGTCACCATTTGCTTTAAGAGATAGAGAGCGAGAAAGAGAGAGAAAGAAACCACAATACTATTTACATTAGCACCAAAAACAAACAAAAACCACACTTACCTATATAAACATAATAAAATAAGTACAAGATCGACATAAGGAAAACTACAAGATGATTTCTTTCTAAATCAAAGAAGATGTAAGTAAGTGTATAGTCCATGTAAATGGACAGTAAGATTCAAGACCGTCAAGATGTCAGTTCTTCCCAACTTGATCTACAGATTCAACACAATTGCCTTTGAAATCACAGCACATTGTATTACGGATAATAAACTAGTTTCTAAATTTCGTATGATTCCACAGTTTATATGGAGAGGCAAAAGGCCCAGAGAAGACAAAGCAATAATCATCAAAACTTGAAGGCAAGTTGTCCTTCAATAGTGTCCTTCAATAAATGAATGGATAAACTGCGGTATATCCACATAAGGAAATATAATTAAGTGACAAAAAGAAATGAGCTATAAAGCTACAAAAAGACATGGAGTCACCTTAAATACATACTGCTAAGTGAAAGAAGACGATCTGAAAAGGCCTCATACTCTATGATTCCAAATATACGACATTCTAGAAAAGTCAAAACTATGGAGGCAGTAAAATGATCAGTGGTTGCCAGGGATTTGGGGAGGAAGGAGGGATGAATTTGTGAAACACAGAGTGACGCTACTCTGTATGATACTGTAATGACAGACATGTGTCACTATACATTTGTCAAAATATACGGAACCAAAGAACAGACAACACCAAGACTGAATTCAAATATGAACTACAGATTTTAGTTAATAATGTATCATTATTGGCCCATCAACTGCAACAAATGTACCTCATTAATGCAAAACGTTAATCATAGGGGAAAGTAGAGGAAAGGAGAGAGATATTTGGGAACTTCTGTACTTCCCACTCAATTTTTCTGAAGTCCATTAATTAAAAAAAAATACAGTTTCTTAGTAGCCTCCACTAACTATGCTAGTCTTCCAAACATTCATAAAACACCTGTCTTACTTTCTTGCTTGTGAATTCTCTTTTCCAATGGACGATGCTACTCTTCTAAGCTATTAAAAACTAGTCATAGGGCGCCTGGGTGGCTCAGTTGGTTAAGCGACTGCCTTCGGCTCAGGTCATGATCCTGGAGTCCCGGGATCGAGTCCCACATCGGGCTTCCTGCTCAGCAGGGAGTCTGCTTCTCCCTCTGACCCTCTTCCCTCTCATGCTTTCTATCTCTCATTCTCTCTCTCTCTCTGAAATAAATAAATAAAATCTTTAAAAAAAATAAAAACTAGTCATAGAACCATCATAGTAAAGACTGGATTGGGCAAAAAAAAAACCACATCCATTTAGTGGATGCTAAATCTCGGGGGAGATTTTGATGAACAAGATATTTGTGTCTCCCCACAGACAGCCTACTAGTTACCAGGGCATAAGCCAGTCATTATCAATTGGAGAAAGTGAAAAACACCTTGAACGAGAGATCAAAATTAATTTCACCAATGAGAGGCAGACGGATATTGTGTGCCCAGATATGAGACCCTGAGAAAGGCACAACATTAACTGAATCACTCCAGCCAAGAATGCATACCTGCATCTCAGCAGAAGGAAACATCAAACTCAGTATGAGAAATGTTAAGACTTTTTCTAAAAAGACATAATTCTTTAAAAATGTAAATGTCTTAAAAGACAAAAACAACTATGAAAATGTTCCAGATTAAAGGAGGCTAAAGAAAACACGACAAGTATACGCAATGCAAACTACTAAACTCTAAACTGGATCCTGTGCTGAAGGGAAGACAGGCTGGAAAGGGCATGTTGGCTCCACCAGCAAAGGTGAATAATGGATGCCTGATCTTTCATTCCTCAAATGAGAAATGAAGTTACAAGGCAATGATACAACAAAGGGACTGGGCTATCTGATCCCACATAAAATCCATTTTCACGCTTCTTCCCTGCTGCTCATCTTCACAAAGCATCCAGCAAGTGGGTACTTCCCTCACTTGAGTGTACACAGTATGCTTTAGTTTTTATTCCAACAATAAACATAACTGTAGGGAAAGGAAAAACAAATTAATGTACCTCCCTAACCTGGAAGTTTCTTATGAGCTTAACTAAGACACAAGACATATGATTTCCAGAACATGGCTCTATTGTTTCTTATACTGAAATAAAATCAAATAACAGTTGACCCTTGAGCAATGCAGAGGTTAGGGGTGCCGAAACCTCCTACCCCCGTCCCCGCAGTCGAAAATCCACGTGTAACTTTGACTCTCCAAAAAGCTAGCCACTAATAGCTTTCTGTTGACCAGAAGCCTTACCAATAACATAAATACTTGATTAACACACATTTTGTACATGTATCGTAGTATGTATTACAATAAAGTTAGCTAGAGAAAAGAAAATGTCATTAAGAAAATCATAAAGAAAATACATTTACAGTGCTACATATAAAAAAAAAAATTCCACAAATAAGTGGACCCATGCAGTTCGAACGCCTGTTGTTCAAGGGTCAACTACAGTCCAAACCACAGTATTTTTCTGTCACCTCAGGTATTCACTGTTAATAAGCAGGATTACAAAGGAGTATATAGAGTCCTTTCAACAAACAAGTACATCTTTGATAATTTATTTATACTATACCTAAGAAATTACAACCTTCATGTTCATCTCTCACACTCATCCTCAAAGAACTTTTAATAAAAATGAATTAAATCTGCTCTACACAAAATTCAATGACATACTTACAGTTTCACAAGTAAGACATCTGGTTTCATTTGTCAATGTTCCCTGAAAAATCTCATGAACCCACGTCGGGTCTGGTGTGCTGTTGTTGTTCTCACTGTCAATATTACCGTTAGGTAAGCGGCCATTTTGTTTTTCCTGCTTTCTTTCTTCTTGTAAAATATCAGCAATTGTATTTAGTAGGTAATTTAAGAATTCATGGGCATCTTGCTGCATGTAGTTGTCAAAAAGCTCTAAAAATAAAAATATATTAGAGAATTACTTCAGAATTAGTAACTTGATTAAAACTAAATTTAAAACAAATATCCAATATTCTATCAGAACTAAGTATAAACATTTGGTATTGTCAGTCATGTACAAGAAACAGATTAGCTTTCACATAAAAATATGACTAAACTTGGAGAAAAATACAGTTAAGATGAATGAGAAGCTTCTTTTTAAAGCAACAATACTAAGTGATCCATGAGAAAAAGGCAAAACTTTTAGCCTCATACATTTATATAATACATAGAAGAGATCAAAAACAACTACTTTTTATTAGCTCATCTTATTATTCCACAATGATTATAACATGGCAAGTTTTGTTCTTTATTTGTTTGACACAACAAGCTTGAAAACAGAAGCGGGACAACCTCTTGCCAATGTGAAGCCAACTGGGTAAGAACTACACAGAAAGGCTGTGGAAATGATGATGATGGGGCCATGCATCCTAGGGACTCAGTCAGAGGTAAGGCCTGGAACCTGGGACTTTCAAAGTTCCTCCAGGCGACTCTGATCTGCAGTCAGGTATAGGAAACAAGGGTATCACAAATTATCTCTTCAATCCAGATAATCTCTAAAATGTGCGAGTTTATAACTCTATGAAACGTTCCCTGTCACTATACAAATGAGTATCACAGAAAAACAGTCACGAACATGAAGTGCTTTATACCCCGAGCTTGACATTACACAACCTGAAACTAAAGGTAAGGACTTCATAAGCAGTATCCCATTTGATCTTTTGAACAACTCTGTGACACTGTTATTGTCATCTTCCAAATGAGGGAATGGGATCAGAGAGGGAAAGTCATGCTGCCGGGAAGTGGCAGTCCGACGCCACAAGCCGCATACAAAGCAGCGTGCCAGGGAGACCCAGCCACACAATGGCCCCTGCGGCTTAGCCATCCAACACAAACAGAGGACAACCCGCTCAGCAAAATGTTACCTTCAGATCCTCGATGCACATTTAATACATTCCTGAAAGATTACAGCTAACATTTTTTAAATAAAAGGCAAATTAGGAACAAAACTTAGGGAAGGTCTATGATAAAAAGAACAGAACATTACATTTTAGAAGAGCTACAGTTATGATTGCATAAAATTAAGTTCTGTGCATTAGGAATCATTGAAAAAGTTAAAAAAAATAAAACAAAAACCATTAACATCTTCAACACAGAAAGAGCTTATACGAAAGGAAATACAACGGGTGGAAATCAACAATTTATAGACACAAAATTCAAAAGGTTAAGAAACATGAGAAAACGTTCACCCTCTCATGGTAATCAAAAAGGCCTTCATTTTCCAGTCTGTAAAATGTAACACCATCTTCCTTTGTAAAGGGACTGTACAAATAGAATGGGAACAAGTGAAAATGGGAGGTATAGTCAAAGAAAATAAAGACTGATTTTTAATCTTGGTGTCAGTAAGACCTTAAAAAAGCCTCAGATGTAAGGTGCAGCTGCTAGACCAAGACGATGGTTCTACCTTTAATTACATGTATGTCACAGGCAATTTATTTAATTTCTTTCTTGGATTTCAAGTCAAACACAATAATATTAATGCAGTTAGAGCCACACTTCATTTCTCTGCTGTAAGCTTGTCCTAAGGGATCTGATTAGCCTTAAACAAATCTCTTATGTTATTTCTTAGAACAATAAAAGCCCTGAGTCCTGAGAGATATTGCAGTAGCCTATGTGGACCATCTAACTGATGATAATTTGGTATACTGTGTGTCCAATGGTTTTTGCCCATGAGGGATAGATCCAAGCACTGTGGACACCATTCCCCGTCCCCTATTCCCAGCAAAAGTCCGTGTGTCACTCCCGACCGACACTGTGACACAGCTCACTGCAAAACCTCCTGGCCATCTACTCCATCTCCCTGAGACCAGACCAAGTCACGCTCAGAACTTTTAGATGGTTCCACCACTGGACTGGTCTAGGCCAAGGCTGGGATAACTGAAGTCAATTACCTTTCACCTTGCCTCTCAATGCAAAGATCCTTCATCCCTGAAAATACTAGTCCACCTCCCAACCCCATTCTCCCATCCTCGACTACTTTCAGTCGTTTCTTGTTCCTTATTTCCTTCCTCATCGTTGGGATGTTCTTCTTTCTCAACCCTTTCTGCTGTTCCCTCCAGAAACCACTTTCTGTTCTAAACTCCCCATCTCTTCAACCTTTGGCATTTCTGAGCTCCCTGTAGCCACTTCTCAATCATTACCTTTCCTTTGTATATGAAAAACTCGCCCTCATTCAAAAAAGCGATTAAGATCTTTCTGTGGTCATCTGCCAACTTCCCCTCACCCACTGATGGCCTGATTCGTGGTCTCTTTGTCCATCCCGACTCCCTCACCAACCCCAACACTTTGAGTGTCTGGGCAGCTTCCAGAAGTGCACAGGACACCCTTAAAAGTCCCCTTTTCATCTCTCACTCACCCATCCCCAGGTCACAAATCTAGAACCACCCAGGTCCGCTAAGATAAGAACTGAAAGGAAATATGCTAAAGTTGATTAGGGGGCTCAAGGAAAATACAAACAAACTGGAAAAGTCAGGGAGGAATCTAAAAGGAAGGATAATGGGAGAGGACCAGTAAAAATATTTTATCAACACTCTAAGGGCCCAGTTAAAGTGAGATATGAACAATTCATTGCAGTGGATCTCTATCTGCTGGCTCACAGTCTAAAGTAGTCTCTTTCCCACTAAATCAGGTTTTTTATAACCAAAGTTTTAAAGAATACGTTTTTGCCATAAATATTTAAAATAAACTACAAAATTAAAAAAACAATGAAAAAGTTCTAAATAAAAAATTTTCTGGTTAAGAAAAAATAATAAAGTCTCATTTTTTTTCCTGTTTAAAATTATTTTAGCATCTATGCATGTCTTTCAAAATAATCTGTAAAGCAAAAATGTACAAATGTTTTTTGTTTTTTTAAAAACTTGAAACATCTTTTTTTGGATGTTCTTTTAACACAGAACAATGACTTCACATTCACAAACATACCTCAACTGACTTGAATGCTCCGGAAATGAGATGTAAAGTAAACCAGAAAATACTCTTTTTAAGCATTTTGTTGAAATATTTAAAACAATTTATACTCCATTTTCTATAAACACAGTATGCTGAATGTGCCAGACTCTCGCTGTGCCTAAAAGTACCAATACAGATTTAAAAACTTCAGCCAGGACCACATAAACATCAAAACAACATCAACTAAATGGCCGCAGACAATCCCCATAAACTGTATTACATTTAATTTCTAAAATCTTGGTTTCCTTATGGCTTGCTTTCTTCTCTGCTAAGTAACATGATGGGAAAGGTGGACTTCAAAGTTGCTTTGGCAAATTAAACAAATTCACTCATTCATTCACTCACTCATCAAATATTTAGTAAGCACCTACTATGTACCAGGAACTGGATTATGTGCTGGGAATACAATGGTGAGCAAAAACAAATGGGTTCCCTCCATCATGGAACTGACAGTCTAGTGGGAGAGACAATTTCATTATTAAATAAATGTACACGAAAGGTATAAATTATTAAAGTCCTAATATACCTGGCAACATTAATGCAAAAAAAAAAAGAAAACTAAATCAATGCTTAAAAATGTTATGTGTTCTTCATAATTCAGAAATAGATAGCTTTCGTTAATACCAAAAAATCTTTCGTGCTCTTCTGGAGAAAAAGGATTAAAATGAATATGGGAAATTATTCACTCAAATCTACTTAATAGGTATTATTTATAATTATATCCTCACTTAAGGAATACCCATCCTTAAATATATATACTATTAATATCTCTCTACATCACCTGAAGCATCGCTATGTACATACAGGTTTCTTGAGAATAAGGATCTTTTCTATCTCATTCACTACTGTACCCCCAGCACCCAGAACAGTGCCTGCCACATATTCAGATGTGCTTCACATTTTATGAATGAATGAATGAATGAATGGGCGAACAAATGAACAGCAGGGGCTGAAACAGCTACAATGACATGAGGATAGATCTGGGCCCAGACAACCGTGTGAACTCGGTGTGCCGCTAAGACTTGGTGAGTCAGAGCCCACAGCTACGCGTACCAGCTGCTGTGACTTTCAAGCCCACCATAAATGATCCCAAGCTGAGTCACTGCTAGCTAGCACAGAAGGAGATCATCAGTCCGGGTTTTAATTCTTCTACAGGAAGTTAGCAGTGCGAAACAGAGGGCTTCATTTCTTACCTTCATTCGTGAAACAGCCTCCTGGCTGGTCTACCTGTGTGTACTCATGCGGCCCATGCCCACTCATTCCCACCACTGCACCCCCCAGCAACCAGAGGGATCGCTTCCTAATGCAGATCAAAACACATCACCCACCTGCTCAGCACCCTCCAATGGCTTGCCATGGCTTTCAAAATAAAACCCAAGCGCTAGGCCCTTGCCTTTTTTCTCTCTCTTCATCTTACTCCACTCTAGCCACATTAATTTCCTTGTCATCCTTCAAGCACTCAGGGCAACTGCAATTTCTATTCTATCCGCTTAGAACGATTTTGCCTCAGACCTTTCAATGGCTTCTCCAACTCTCTGAACTAACGTAACCTACCAACTCCCTTTCCATGCTTAATTTTTTTTCATGGTGATAATACATTATATTACATGATTGTTTGTCTTCTCCCCTCGTTTATGGCACTCAGCAGAAGCTAAACATATAATAGTTAATCAATTCAAACATTCAACTAGTTTCCCATCATCCAGGATAACACATTTATGGAGCAAGTGTTTTATCACACTGTAAAAGTACTACGCTACAGTTCTCATATGCTATGATTAGGTAACATGATTTAAAATTTTGAAAACAAAAATCCATTACTGAAATTAAAACAGATTCTTCCCAAGTAATATCAAAATGATTAGTTATATAAAGTAACAGTGTTTAACACAATATGGAGCTAATATCTACTGAAAATATAAAACATGAAGTTTACAGCATACCATGGAAGAAAAGTGATTTAAGAACAACAGTCCAGCAGTGAAAGTTAGTGGAAATTCTGAAATGGGCAACATCCATTTGTTCCAGAGATAAAAGAAAAAAACAAACCAGCAAACATAATCTCAGAAGGAGAGTTAAGCAATGGATAACCCATTAAATCCTCTTTAATTTGTATGCTCTCCTCTACAAAATTATCAGGAAAAAATCAAAAGGCAAAACTATATTTCAAAACATAAAAATGCGAGCAACATCAAATAACAGACATGTTTTTCCATTAAATATTGTTTCTGAGGTATAGAAAAATGAAACAAAACTATGAGAAGATAAGTTGGAATATTCATTCTGGAATCAATTTCATTGAAAAAGATATTTAAGGGTGCCTGGGTGGCTCAGATGGTTAAGCGTCTGCCTTCGGCTCAGGTCACGATCCCATGGTCCTGGGATCGAGTCCCGCATCAGGCTCCCTGCTCAGTAGGGAGCCTGCTTCTCCCTCTGCCTCTCTCTCTCTGTCTCTTATGAATAAATAAATAAAATCTTAAAAAAAAAAAAAAGAAAAAGATATTTAAGAAGTCTACTGTATATCAATTTATTCTGCCTAAACATATAAAAAATTTTCAGAAAATACTGAATTATTAAAAAATAATAATAAACACAGTAAAAACATCCCAGCTTTGCCAAGCAAACATATAAAGCCACACATACACAACTTTCAAAACACAGTAACTTGAGCTCTGTGTTCAGCATGACTTAATCTAAATTTTAAAAAGTCACTGCACACTTAAAGATCATGTTGAGGGCCACATGCATGTACCTCCACCAAAATTCACGTTGAAACCCTAACCCCCAGTATGATGCTCCTTGGAAATGGGGCCTTAGGAGGACCTTCAGGTCTTGAAGACTAGGATTAGTGCCCTTTTAAGAACAGACATGAGAGAGCTTGCTTCTCTCTCTTCACCATGTGGGGACACGGCAAGAAGGTAACCATCTGCAAACGAGGAAGACAGCCCGCATCACACTGAAGCTGCCAGCATGTTACTCGAATTACTCAGCCTCCAGAACTGTGAGAAATACGCGTCTATTGTTTAAGCCACCCAGTCTATGGTACTTTTGTTACAGCAACCCAAACTAAGAGCACATACAATATATTAAAGAATAAGGTCAAGGGGCACCTGGGTGGCTCAGTTGGTTATGCGTCCGACTCTTGATTTTGGCTCAGGTCACGATCTCAGGGTTGTGAGACCAGGCCCTGCATCTGAGCCCTGCGCCCAGCTCCATGCTTAGAGGGGAGTCTACTTGAGATTCTCTCCCTCTTCCTCTCCCTCTGCTCCTCCCACCCCCTCAAATAAATAAATAAATCTTTTTTAAAAAAAAGAATAAGGTCAAGAAAAACACACTATTAACTGAAAAAGAAAATAATGTGTATTCTGTTTCATGTTTCTGATGCTGAACATTTCTAAAATACTAACAAAATCACTGAGAAAGGATGGCACATTCAATTACCATGCTCATGAATTTTCTACCAGGACAAAATTCTTGAAATTTCATACCAATACACACAAAAACACTGAGGGGACTTGAATCACTCAGCCACATTCTAACAGAGCTGTATATGGTGTTCTTAAAAATATACTACAGATTTATAATTTAAGAAAGATGTTTGGCTTTGATAGGGAAAACACAAAAAGATGTATTTTTGTGAATGATCAACTGCTTTGTATCTGTATATGGAGGAAAGGAACAAAATCTTTAACACGTGAATCAGATTCAAGAATAACAGCCTGTCACCATATTATCTCAGTATCTCCTTACATTTCAGGAAACTAGATATGACCCAGGCTTATCTCAATTCACGGGATAATGAACATTGTCAACTCAGTTAAGGACAGGATTATTCAATGGTGTGTTTAATAACCAATCTTAAAAGACTTCTCAAATCTTATTTCTGTGGGTATCTTTTGATAACAAACTAAAAATATCACTCAATTTTATTTCTACAATGACTAAAATGCCTAAATCAAACAAAACACGTAATTCTACATGTGATTGAAATTCCCCTTGAATTTTTTGAGGTAACATACCACACTACACAGAATATGGGATTTAGATGTCAGGAAGATGTGTGGGACCCTGACAAGCCATTTTAACTTCTCTGAGCGTCCACGATCTCACGTAAAGTGAGGTAATAACATCTGACTTCTGGGCTTGCTGTGAGCATTAAACAACATTTAAGAGAGAAAAAGAGAAGTGGGGCTTGATCAGTAACTATTTAAAAAGGGGGGTGAGTGGAGTTAAAACCACTTACCCTAGGCCAAAAAGTTTTATTATTCTGGCTCTTTCCCTGGAGTATGACTCCTGGAAAGCTTTTTAGCCTCTATTCTTTGCATGGCTAAAATAGGGGAAATAACATGCTCTCTAAATCAGGGCAGGGTAAGGATCAAATGGGTCCACATACATGAAAGCACTACAAAAACAACAAATAACGTGGGGGGCGGGGGGAACCCAACTACATTCTCAATAGAAAAGCCAAGCAGGCAAAAAAAAAAAAAAAAAAAACCATTTCTCATTTCCTGGCATACAGAATTTGGTCTTTGTAGAACATACTTCCAACATTAATCACACCTCATATTAATTACTGTGTGACTACCTCCTCACTAAACTAGCACTTCCTTAAAGAATGTTAGCTCTGGTTTTTCAATGGCTACAATACTTTTAGGCTTAGAAGATGGCTCGGTCAGTGCTTGCTGAACTGTGGTGTGCTGTATTTACCCTTTCTGCCATATAAGAATACATTCAGAAGTAGAAGAATTACCATTTTCCTTCCGTAATCTTGTTATGAACTTCTTAGGAGGAATCACCCCAACCTTCTTCTTCTGAGTGGCTATGCTATGGAAGAGGTCTGCTAGGCAAGTAAGAAGGTTCTCCTTCTTCCTAGGTTGGCTCTTGTATGCTAGAACTTTTTCCCGAAATGGACGACAAAAATAAAGTGCTTGAAGAACTGAATTACAGTAGCAGGTATTCCCAAACTAGAACAGAAAAAAAAAAAAATCTTGTTAAATTTGGGGCAACACATTATCAAGAGAAAGAATTTCCATGTATAGTTAAGAGAACAAAGAGAAGGTAGGGAATTTATGATCCTCATAAATTAAAAGGTATCTGAGAGTAGAAATAATTATTCTGACTGCAAATCTGCCATTTTAACATTAAATGGATGCTCTAGGCATTGGTTTCAGGTTAAAATTGAAGGAAAATATATGCAATAAATTTGGCCTTCATGAAGACGGATTTAAAAATTCTCTATAATTTTTTTCTTTTTCAATTCCCATTGTTACATTCTGGATATTAAGCATTTCATATATTATACATTTTAAAATATAACTCTCAAAAATTCTTTTAGAAAAACACAAAAGTGAGGTTTTCTATCAGATTCTCAAAAAATATAAGCAAGGGGCGCGCCTGGGTGGCTCAGTTGGTGAAGCATCTGCCCTCGGCTCAGGTCATGATCCCAAGGTCCTAGGATTGAGCCCCGCATCAGGCTTCCCTACTCAATGGGGAGTCTGCTCCTTCCTCTCCTTCTGACCTCCCCCCCCGCCGCTCGTGCTTTCTCAAATGAATAAAAAATCTTAAAATAAAATAAAATAAAAAATAAAACCAAAAAGCGAAATAAAATTAGATCCTCTGAAATGTTAGATTAAAAATATCAGGGGCGCCTGGCTGGCTCAGTCGGTTGGGCTCCTGCCTTCAGCTCAGGTCATGATCCTGGGGTCCTGGGATCGAGCCCCACATCAGGCTCCCTGTCCAGTGGGGAGTCTGCTTCTCCCTCTCCTCCTCCCCCCCCCCGCTCGTGTTCTATCAAATAAATAAAAATCTTAAAAAAAAGCAAAAACTGTTCAATATGCTAGCAAAACCACCACTGAAATGCTGAGATGCCCACAGATCATTCCTGATACATTACAAACAGACTTCAGGTGCATTAAATCCTCAACTGTAACTGACTTCTTACCGGCCATGTGATCTGGTTGTGTGTAACTACAGCCTACTGAACTTCAACTTCCTCCTCTTTAATAATGGGGAAAAATAATCCTACCTTATGAGAAAATGACACACAGTTTGATAAACATTTATTGTCTTCCTTTTCCCTTCCCATTAATAGACACTGGCTCCCAAAGCCAGCTGACAAACCACCCAAAAGTTGATCGATGAGGACTTGGGGAGACTTTGAAAGTGTAAAAAAAGGAAAGAGGACAATTCTCACAGCGCTACCATGCGTCCAGGTCACACACTCACTACCCAAAAAAGCCTAGGCAGAGAAGACTTTTAAGAATGGGCAACGCTGAGGTGCCTGGGTGGCTCTGATGGTTAAGCGCCAGACTCTTGGTCTCTACTTGGGTGTTGATCTCATCATGATCTCGGGTTGTGGGATCAAGCCCCAATTCTTGGGCTCTGTGTTCAGCGCAGAGTCTTCTGGAGATTCTCTCTCCCTCTCCCTCTGTCCCTCCACACCCCCCCAACTCGCGCACACACACTCTCTCTCCAAAAATAAATAAATAAATCTTTTTTTTAAAAAAAAAAAAAAAGGGCAATGTCAAACACACATCCACAGACATGTACATGTTTGCTTATATTTAAAAACCAGGAAGGATAAATCAAAAATAAAAATGGTTATCTATAGAGAAAGAGGGAAGAGTGCAGAGGAATCAAAGTATATTTTTAAAAACATCTGCTTTGCACTGATTTTTTTTTATTTGACAGAGAGAGAGATAGCAAGGGCAGGAACACAAGCAGGGGGAGTGGGAGAGGGAGAAGCAGGCTTTCCGCTGAGCAGGGAGCCTGATGCGGGGCTCGATCCCAGGACCCTGGGATGATGACCTGAGCGGAAGGCAGACGCTTAACGACTGGGCCACCCAGGTGCCCCCTTCTCTAACAGTCTTGCACTTATCTTCATCAATCCCATTAAAGAAAAATTAAAGCTTGAAACTACTTACTACAATTTCTCCAGACTAAACAGTAACTTTCAATCTTATTCATAACTCTGAAACTTTTCCTTCAGCTTCCCTGATAGTAACTTTCTTTCAAGTTCCTAAAGCCTAAAACTATACCTTTCTAATGTGTAGCTTTCATGCAAAAGATGGTCTGGGATGATTTCCCCCACACTCCTGTTTGTGAATGCTCAATTTCTAAAAAAGACATTGCTTGGGGCGCCTGGGTGTCTCAGTCATTAAGCGTCTGCCTTCGGCTCAGATCATGATCCCAGGGTCCTGGGATGGAGGCCCACACCGGGCTCTCTGCTCAGCGGGAAGCCTGCTTCTCCCTCTCCCACTCCCCCTGCTTGTGGTTCCTGCCCTTGCTATCTCTCTCTCTCTCTCTCTGTGTCAAATAAATAAAATCTTAAAAAAAAAAAAAAAAAAAGACATTGCTTTAGGGGTGAAACCTACCCTGTGTCTTCTCAGCTAGTTCTGAAGATCAAAGGTATAACCAGGTTTAAAATCAGGGGAAACAAATTTTATTTTATTTTATTTTTTTAAGATTTTATTTATTTATTTGACAGAGAGAGAGACAGCGAGAGCAGGAACACAAGCAGGGGGAGTGGGAGAGGGAGAAGCAGGCTTCCCGCTGAGCAGGGAGCCTGATGCGGGACTCGATCCCAGGACTCCGGGATCATGACCTGAGCGGAAGGCAGACGCTTAACGATTGAGCCACCCAGGCACCCAGGGGAAACAAATTTTAAAAAGCTGCCACCCTCCTCAAGGTCTGAGCATTGATTTTTCAGTTGCTTATTGAACACAATGACCTGTGCCTGCTTTCTCTAATGCCTTTTTTCTCCTAGTTTTAAAGTAAATGCCCCCTCCACAAATATTTATCATATCCCCATCTCTAAGATCATTTTGAGCACACATCCCTAATAAATACAAATAAAAATAATGTATGTGCTACATCATATACATCAAAATATACTTTTATAAAATGCAAAATTTATATACATAAAAATATACATTACATATAGTTGGCCTTTCAACAATGTAGGAGTTAGGGGCACTGACCCCTCAACACAGTCAAAAACCTGCGCGTAACTTTCGACTTCCCAAAAACTTCACTAATAAAAGACTACTGTTTACCAGAAGCCTTATCTATAACAATCGGTTAACACATTATTTTGTATGTTATATGTATGATATACTATGTTGTTACAATAAAGCAAGCTAGAAAAAAGAAAATGCTATTAAGAAAATCATAAAAGAAAATACATTTACAATACTATATTGTATTTATACAAAAAAAAAAAACTGCATATAGATGGACCTGAGCAGCTCAAACCCGTGTTGTTCAATAGCCAACTGTAGAACAAATGTGATTAAGACAATGTAAATGCGTACAATTTTTATCTTATTTACAATGATTTTGTTTTCACTAAAAATTATTACTATTTAAGTGAGAGCAATGAAACGGAGTATGCCTTTTGGTAAACTGTGGGTTACAGATTTTAATACTCTGACTGATAGTCTGAGTTTATATTCCGTTATCTCGGTATGTGGGTTTAATGGCAATCAAGGACAGATACACAGACAGGTCCAAGGGTCTTACTTTACTTTCTAAATTAAATTCCCAATCCTACCTACCGAATCTGTCTGAATTCATCTGAGTAATGACCTGCCTTGAGAGCAGCACAGCACAGTAACTGAGCACGCAGGCTCTGAAACCAAACCTAGGTTCAACACTGGCTCTGTTCTCCGACCTCGGCAAACTACTAAACCACTCTGTTCATCCACTTCCTCGTCTGTAAATGGGGTTTATGATACAGTGCCCACCTTCTAAACTCTTGTAAAGAATTAAATTAATAATCCACATGAAGCACAGACAATGGTTCTCAGGACTTCATCACTGCATTGTTATTTTTGAAACCATCTTTTTAAGTCATTTGTCCATTTTGGAAAAAATAGATTAACTGAAATTGAATCATATAATCTCTAAATCTACACTGAAATGATAATAGTTTGTAACTGCATAAATGAATAAGAGACGGTTATACTGTCAACTCTTTGGCGCTATGGAACTTGAAGCGTCATAGGACCACTTCACACACGAATAGAGTATGGAGACCTGTATCACCCATTTACTAGGAATTAGTAAAGCTGGGGCACCTGGGTGGCTCAGTCACTTGAGCACCTGACTCTTGATTTCGGCTCAGGTCATGATCTCAGAGTCCTGGGATCGAGCCCCATATAGGACTCCACACTCAGTGGGGAAGTCTGCTTGAGATTCTCTCCCTCTCCCTCTGCCCCTCCCACCACCTACCCCCTTACATGCTCGCTCTCTCTCTCTCAAATGAATAAAAAACTTTAAAAACAAGAATTAGTAAGGCTTCTCTCTCATTTTTAGATAAAAATAAACATTAGGAATTCTATAGTTCTTCCTAAAGCCCAATTGTTCATCTTACATATATCATTTGGAGACTACTGTTGTTTACCACCATTAGGTCAACAATTTTGCCTTCAAAAAATGTTTTAAAATGTTTAAATGCTCCACTGTCCCCCATGGAGGCTGGTGATGATGATGCCTGTCCTGTGAACATCCCCTTCTAAGGAAAGACCCTCTTCCCCTCCTGTAGTTTGTTTAGGTGGCTCTGTGTTTTCAACACTATACCCCACGTGCCCCTACCCACCACTCTCACTACAGCCAAGTGGACCTAATCTAAAAGTGTCCTTCCACATGCTAGTGGACATCCATTCCTCACTCCACACCCTGACTCCACTGCCCCACCCTTCCTTATAGAAAGTGACTTCTCTACATAAATTCTGGGGTTGTCAATCACAAACCCTTTTATAGACGCTGCAACAGGGCTGGACACCTGATCCAATCTCAGCAGAGTACTTGGGGCAGAGTTGTTTTGTCAAGTCTATTATGAACATTCTCTGGGATCTCTGATAATATCAAGGAGCCTATGGCCATCAGGTGGAGAGAAACTAAATGAGAATGAATCAATTCAAATGAAAAGAGAACCAAGAGACATTTGCCTAATCAACTTTAT